TATCTATATACATACGTATATATAGTTACAATATTATATAATAATGAATTGTAATAAGTAATCAACGGCATAATTAATCGCGCACGTGTTAAGATGCACCCATGTAAATTTCACGAAGAAATAACAAAGAAACGAATCGTATTAATCTATATATCATTAATTAATCGTAACTAAAAGGATTTTCGCCGATGTCATACCGAGTATAAGACTCAATAAGATTTTCAAAGACGTTTCGCCATGACGTTACAGCTTACATTAAGTCTAGATATAAAAAATGGAAAGAAATACGAATGCTAATAAGAATCCAGTTGGAAAAACAGACAATACTTATTACTATTGTAATTCAGTAGAACGAGATGAGATAATCGAGCATGTAGCGAGGGCATTAATCCAACCAGTTGCGACTAATGATCGTTTCAGTTGATATATCATTGTTCAAGGGTCGATGTAACAAGATTATAGATGCAAATCGAGTTAAGTTTTAATGATTTTTAAAAATATTTTTTATTCTTTTAGAAAAAGAAATTAAATTTTTTAAATTAATAGACATCGAAATATTTTATCGTTTGTTTATTAATTAAATAATTCAATATGTAAAATTATACAAAATATTTTAACTTATATACATCGTATATATATTTAAAACTTATTTGATATTTTTTAAACATTTTATTTGCGTCTATAAATCTGGAGCACCCTATACATATATTTACGTACATATCTTTTTGTTATGAACATATCTTCGCTGATTTTAACAGCTATAATCTCAGGCGTGAATTGGAGGAAGCGGAAGTCGAAGGATATAACGTAGGACAGTACACGAAAGAAAATGCAAATTTCTTCGATCGAATCGAATCTTCCGATTTCTCTACTACTCGTAAAAAACGAGTTGTAGAAGCTTGTTTAACGATTTGGAAGAGAATATGATAATATGGAATATCATATGCAACGTATAATTTGTTATTGCAGCTTTATTATTAATATTATTAAATATTATTAATTTAAAAAAATCAAAATACTCAAATAATATATATTTTATGATTAAGTTGAATATAATATATTTTTATTGAAATTTTAATTTTGATTATGTATATAGAAAAATTAAAAAAATTGAAAATTATTTTAAATATCAATAAATTATTAATAAATATGGAATGAAGAATATAAGAATGGGATTGTATAATTTTTAATATACGTCGAACGAATAAATTATGGTATACATATAATTGGCAATGCAACAAATCGAGTTATCTGCAAAGTTATCTTCCATATTACCATTTTATCTTCGATATTTATTATAAAGTGTTTGATCATCCTGATTTTTTTTTCTTGATTTGGATTTATTTCGTTAGATTTTTAATTCGCACTAATAAATAATGTCACTGTGTATTGTATACTCGAAATTTAAATAAATCTTAGTCTGTTACCACAATCTTTCATCTCAATATATTGTTGAAATAATTTAAATTTTAATTTAAAATAAATTCTATCTTAAATTCATCGCAAACAATAAATATTTTTATTAAAAATAAATTTTAAATTTAATTCAAGTTTGCAACATGCGATGTTTCCGATCGAAAGAATTCAACGAATCGAAATTTTCGCAAGAACGGCAACACCTTTTTCTAAAAGCAACCACGTTGCAGTATCGTTTCAAACTCGGTATGGAGCAGAATCGATTCTTGTCTCTGAGGCAACGAGATGGAAATTCGATAGCTCTGGTCACGTGACCGGTGCAAGAACGGATTTCCGTTTTTACGCTCGGACCGTCGCAATTGTAAAACGATTCGTTCTCTGGAGGAATGCATCTGGCTATTCGCGACTGTATACCTTTCCCATTTTTCTTCGAGCACTGGAAAAGAAAAAAAAACATGAATATATTAATCTGAAATTATAATAAAATTAAAATATTATTTTAATATTAAGATAATTTAAAATATTATCCTTTATGATATTAATATTATCTATGATGTTACAGGGACTAAGGAAAAATGGGCAAACTTCACATCTTCATAATCACCCAACTTCACACTATTATTCGTTTCTACTTGTTGGACATGAAGATCCCTGTACCACAATATTATATCTATGATATTGCATATCATATATTGTTCATATGACAAATTATCATTTATTTTTTTAATTTATGTATTTTCAGAAGGTTAAGATAAAATTACCGAAGACCAATCTGTAAAAATCCAACGTCCAGGGCAAGGAATCCTGTTACATTCTCTGGTATTTGTAGGCATAGAACTCGATTGACATATGGATGATTGTACCATCGTTCTGTACACTTCTATTTCGTTATTCCTATTCATTTCTGTTCCATTGAAACCCGAATGAATGCAATAGAGCTGTCGTAATTGTACACCAAATTTTCCACATGTAGTTGAACATGTTTCCCATGGACCTGGTATCCATTTGAAGGTACAACTGTGAGTTGAAAAAATAATTACATTGCATTTTATTTTTTAAAAAATTATGTTATTTCTTTTAATTAAGATAATAATTAAGAGATTATATATTAATATAAGAGATTATATATTAATAATTAGATTACTACCAAACCAAGTGAAACCAAGTTCCAGATTTTTGTTATTATTGTTAGTTTTAGATTTTTAGTAAAATAGATACCTAAAGACGTTGCATTTCTCTATCTCTTGACTCGGTTTGGTCGTCAATGGGCATTTTCTTCGCGACACTATTCTCCCTGTTTTCTCATCCTTGCAGACTATCATTTTCTGACGGGTTCCACCACCGCAACTGGCCGAACAAAAGCTCCAACCACCGAATAGCCATATATATCTATCCTTAGCGCTCCTTTCATCGCGATTTAAGAAATATCTCAAGGAAACCGTAGTCGAGATTCCTTGGTGTATCGTATTCTTTGCTACTATAAGCTATAGAAAATTTACCATTTTTAAAATATGGAGAATTGGTGCAGAATTGAAAATATGGTATGTTGCAATTTGACAAAATTCTTTTTTTTTTTTTTTATTGTATTTTAATATGTACAAAATTGTTAAGTTATATTTTACAATTTCATACCAAAATGACGACATCTTCAAACGTAGTACCATTCGCCTCTATGGAATATGTGTTATTACCACGTTTCTGAACTCGAAAGGCAGCACCTTGAACGATCGTTATATCTCGCTTTCGAGAAGCTAAATTCTCCTGAACGTTTCGTCTTCTCCTGCCATCACCAATCACGATTGTCAAGTTATCTCTGTGGAAGTGTGGAGATGCAGCTATTGTGATGTTCATATACAAATTGTGCGCCTCTCGTGGTATTATAGCGACGCGTGTTACTTCTAGAAAATTTAAATAAATATAATAATATATTCTAAATTAAAATTTATAAGTATTTTATTTTATTAAAAAAATAATATATAATTAAAAATTAAAAAATTTAGATCCAACGTAATATATTTATATTTATATTTTCTAAGGTTTTTTTAAAAAATTAAATATTAATTTTATTGGGTTAATAATTTAAATATTACTAATATTAATGAATTTTTAAATTTTACAGATCTAATAATTCTGATAATTCAAATATTTCAAAAAGAGATGCCATAAATTAAATTTTTCAACTATCAACAACATCGTTCATCGCATAGTTTCTCGATAGTAATTAAAAGTTTTTGCTGTTTTACTTCTCCTCTCTTCTTCTACGTCAGAACTTGGAGAAAATCGAAGTAAAACTTCGTGCGATATAAGTTAACAACTAATCACTCCATCTTCGTAATTCTTATACTTTTAAACTTTTAACTAATTCGAACGATCCTGTTAAATATCTTCGAGGGAAATTTCATCGACATTTTTAAGAACTCAATTTTAACTGGACTGACCTCGTCGAAGTTTCCGATGGAACTTGGTGATGATATTTTCGCAGCTCGAATTATCACCATCGCATACACCACATAGATCGAAC